ACAATACACTTCACTCAGCGCAGTGAAATACATTAGATGCACCAGATAGCTGTGAATAATGTGTTTGCCTGTCATCTTACAGTGTGATGAAACATAGCGTGATTACTTACAGTGACACATGCATTGCTGCTGTGAATAAAATGAATAATCTGACTGACACCTTGTAAACAGAATCTACTTCTACTGTAAAAAACAACAATAAATGACGACCGGGAATGCTGCAGTACATGCAACATTCAAAATGCACCCTAAAACACAAAATTTGTTTTTTTAAGGACTGACATGGATAACTGTGCTAATATCATGGGTTTGTAGATGTACAACAGAATGAACTAAATGTTTACAAGTGCACTTTCAAGCACAGTTTTGGTTGACAGAAACGTCCACTAAGCCTTGAAGAGTAATAATATGTGCTGTGATTTGTTTTTTACTACAGCTGGACATGACTTTCCACCTGTTCATCTGTGCCCTCGCTGGAGCAGGAGCTGCTGTTATTGCTATGGTGAGACACCAATAAAACTGGTCCTCTCTCTCTCAAGGGATGGAAAATAAAAACATGACTCAAAACATAGGCTACCTAAAACTCTTTAAAATCAACCACAAAGCAGAAAGAATGTGTGGCCTCTATCTAAAACTAATGCAGTTTCTCAGTTAGACCGTTTCTGCAGTGGTAGCAGTTGACCCTTTTTGAAAATAAAAGGTGTGTGTGTGGGGAAATATAGTAGCTGGGATAATAGCTGTGTTTTGTTGTGGCTGGTTCGGAGCTCTGTTGTGTTTGCCTGTGAGAGAATAACTGTAGATGGAGAGAAGGCATTTTGGCGCAGTGAAAAAGACAGGGTTTGTCTCCCTCCCTCTTTCGGAGGCGCCAGGCATGTCATGTCGTTGTCATGGAAACAGGGAGAAGAAAGGCTCCGAGATTGTTGCAAACATCACTCAGTAATTTGTGAGGAGCCATTTTCTGGGAAACAGAAAGTGTTTGCTATTCAGGGATGATGTTGCAAATTGTGGCAGGACTCTTTTCTCCACATCCTCGTTGTCCCCCCCCAGCTGATCGTAGACAAACATCACAACAGATACACTGATGCATCTCAATAATGAGCTGCCCTCAAAAAACCTTCAACAAACTCAGAAAAAAATACACACTCAACGACTAACCACAAAGAAAAATATGAACAAAATGTATTATTTTCAGTGTGTGAGTGTGAGTGCACGAGTCGTTCTGCATATCAGAGACGTGCAGCTATGACACTGTCATTCCTTATGAAAAGAGAAGCTGGGTTACAACTCATCATTAAAGCACAATACATTCATTATAACCTTAGCTGCCATGGTAACGCAAGCCCAAAGCTACATTTAGCATTATGCTGCCACCTGCTGGATTGTTGGAAATGTCCTCCTTAATTTGAAAGGGCAGTCTACCCAAACAAGCTGTAAGAGTCTATTTATTGCATTTTAAATGAACATTTTAGGTCTTAGTTGTAAATTTGTATCCATAAAAAATAATAAAACTGAAATGAATAATGATGTCTATATTAAATTCTAATAAGATCCAATGGATTATACTCCCTATGTGATTCACAGTTGTTTTGGATTTCAAAAAGGGGTTTTCAAAATTAAATTTGACTGAATAAATATGAACCCAAGCCACAGAAGGCAGATCTTGTGTGTTTTAAAACTTGCTTTGTATTGGTGTCCCACTTCATAATTTTCCACATCACACAGATCCACTACTTGATGGTGCTGTCTGCCAACTGGGCCTATGTGAAGGACGCCTGCCGAATGCAGAAGTACGAGGACATCAAGTCAAAGGAGGAGCAGGAGCTTCATGACATCCACTCCACTCGCTCCAAGGAGCGTCTCAACGCCTACACATAAAGACCAGCGTGAGGCCTGGCCCTGCCACTCCGGCCTCTCTCCCTCTCTCTCTCTTCTGTCTTTCTATCTGTCTCTCTCTACCATCCCCTCCCGAGGGGGGGCGGATGGCGCCTAGGGCCCTCGCCACTGCTGATGTCACTGGTGCGTCATATGACAATGTGGTCTGGGGAGGGGTGGACGTCACACAAACCTCCTCAGTCACAAACAGCATTTCAGATGAAAAAAAGCCCCTTTACCTCTCTCATGGATGGTGTTATGATTATCATTATGGCAGTTATATTATTCTTGATACAAGTTGTTTAGTGCTGATAGTAGTTTTAGTGTAGTTTGTAGAATCAGAAGTAGCAGTAGTATTTTAGCCCTTTTTTTTTTACTGAATCATTTGCTTATGATTGTTTTATTTTTCTTAAATTTCTATTTGATGCTACGTGTCATTTTGCTCTCATGCATAATTTATTTTTTTTGCTGATTTCTGAGGGGGTCAACAGGGGCTTAATAGGGTTTTCAAGCACATTTCTCATGTTGTGTGTCTGGAGATTTCATGTTCAAGAACTATGTACTGTATGTGAACGGGTGGTTAGTTTTGAAAATATTTTAAATCTCACAACGCAACCATGAAGCATTGTAAGCCTTTGTCATACCAGTATTCCCAGGGATTAAAACCGCTTTCACATGAAAGTAAATCAATCTGTTTTTCTATTTGAAGATATACAATAGCAAGACAAGACAATAATAAATACCAAATCATTAGAGTCAAACAAATATTTGCTAGATGTGCCAAGCCTGTTTAACAGGAAACAATGACTTTGATAGCTATCAAGGAGGCAATTAGTAGATCAAAAATAAATTAAGGGTTATTTTATAATAATCTTGCCAATTAAATGTTTCGTAGGACTGTGAATGATTCCATTGTCTTTGAATCACAAGCAACAAAAGCACATGCAAACTTGCTTTCATAACCCCTTTTTTTAATTTCTTAAAAGTAGAACTTTATAAATACTAGACTCCTGTTTTTGCAGAACTCTGCACTGTAAATACTGATATATCAAAGCATACCTATATGTTAAGCACTGACATTTAAGGATGATTGATGTGAGAATAGGAAGAGATCCCTTTGGGTCAGCCCGCTCTGCATCAATCAGTCTCAACCGAAAAGAAACCCTGACGATAAAAACGTGTTGGTGTAATGGCACTCCTTGGTGGAATTATCAGATGTGAGAAAAGTGTGTGTCACAGTAATTTTGTTCATGACAGTAACTGTATTGCTTACACATCCTGATGCCATACGACTACAAAGGTTGCCTGTCGGTTCATTGCCTGGCAAAATGTGTTTTGTCAGTATTTCTAAACGCTAGTTTCATGCACTTATTTGACCATTTCTGTGCTCTCTTTAGATGTATGCGCATTGGTGTTCAACTTAAAGTTGAATAACTGTACTGTTAGTAAAGACTGTGAATTTAGATGTTTTTCGTGGCATGGACATGCATTAATATAGTCTTATTGACTCAAAAGTTACTTTATTTCACTTCTTTATTTTTACACCGCTGACTGTCTTGCTGGATCAACCCTTTGTTTATATGTGCAGTACTAAACCTCCCATGCTTACCGCGTTATGCTACTGATATTAGAGACTGTAGTCTTTGAGTTGTGTCTATTTAGTTTGTGAAGAGCTCTCAATCATGTCTTAAACTAATACTTGTACCAACATTGCTTACTCTGTAATGACCTGAAAAAATGCTTCTCCTCGTATTAGTCTTTTGTATTTTCACTACGAATGCTTAGTAGCAGGCTTTAAATTGAATCTGTTTTGTACATTCATGTGCCAACAGCTTGAAGTGGCTTATTTGACCTGTACGATCAAATTTGCTTGCATTAATAAAACTCACTTGTGTACTTGTTCATAAATACGTGATGTCTTTTGTGTCCACTTTATGTTTTGATGTTTAGGTTAAGATTTTCTAGTCCTCCGGGTTGTATTATAGGATTTGTGGGATTTGTAAACAGCTCCTGTATGAGCCAATTTCAAACATCAGGTGAGCCGTCAAATATGGTCAGACCCGAATAGATTGTCATTACTATTTTGTATTTTTGTATTTCTCGAAGGGAAATACACTCAGTAACAACCTCATACCACTAGATGTCTCCTTTTCATAGTTATTCCAATTGATAAAGTGCTTCTTAGTCGTTCCAATTAAAGAGTTGGCAGCCAAACATTTTGACTTCTACTTAATGGTATTATATCTGATATAAGTAAGATTATGAAGCACTTTTATGTCATTAACATTAATACAGTAAGAATATGGTCGTTTTACAACTGACCTGATGATCTGGGAAAAGAAACAAATAAAGATAGATGCCTAATCCCAAAGCTGTGTTTATAAAGTCTCATAATTAAAACTTAAATGATAGGGATGCTGTCACTGGCTATGCCATCACAGAAACACAGAACGCTTATATTTCTATCAACAAATACTGAGTAGAAAATACAGCAAAAGCTGTGTGTGCCCATGCTAAACCAACATGTGCAGAAAATATGAAAGGGATACACTACTGTGGAGCAGTCATTGGTAGCAGGTTGAGTTTGGCCCCCTATCCTAAGCCAGTGGTCCACCCAGTCAGGTAATAAATCACATCGCAGATTACACTTTGCACCCTAGTGCCAGACAGAACTCGCTCACACATCTTACTCATGGCCTCCAGCTAAATAATACATTTACATCTAACAGATTTCTTGAGAGTCAGACGCTTACATCAGAATACAAGTGCAAAAAAACAGTCTGCCACAGTGCCTGGTATTACGAGGGAAGACGATTGAATATAATTACACAGGGCTGATCCCAGCTGTATTGTAATATGTTGTTTTTTTTAGTTTTCCAGCAAATTTGACACAGGTGAGGGCATGAACATTCAGCAAAACTTGGGGGTTAAATCTTAAAACTTGAGAGTTAAAAAGCAATGGTGAGGTTGGTAACTGGATGGATTAACAAAGGCGTGGCTTGATCACGTGAGGGGAAACCTCACCAGAATTAGCAGATTAGCACCATGTCCAAAGGAATAGTCCTGCCCTACTGCCTAGCGTGCATGACCCTGTCAGCCCCTAGAAATCCTCCACTAATCCACCACCCCCTCCCCCACAGAATCTAACAGGTCACCTGTGCTGTAATTAGATCTTCAGCCTGTGTACCGTTATCTCCTATGGACTTTGAAAGCTCTTTTCATTATTCTCCATTTGTTTTTGGGGAAGAAAAACAATTCTTCAAGCTCTCAATGAATCCGGATGTATTTTTTCCTGATCTCTTCTCAATGTGAGAATTGTGGCTGCGTTTGGTGAAATCATGCGTCAACTTCTCTACATGCATGTATTCCTATGCTGCCTCAGTACGGCTCATCCCTTCTGTCCATCTCAGTGCACCTGTGTCTTCCACGGACGTACCGATGGAACCCGAACCAGGTAATTTTAATTGTACTCTCATTCACTGACATTTTTGGAAAAATTAAAGTTAATTCAATTTATAAAAGGTTTGGTAGAAACTGGGTATAAACATTTGGTTTTAACTAGGTCATCTTCTCTATACCTTACGGTGAATAAAAAAGATCCTACAATACATTCACCTCTGTGTAGTCCTGAACCAAGTTTGTGAATCAGTAAAAAAATATATATTTTCATTTTTATTTAACAATGATGACCCATTTGAATTAGCACGTTGAGTAAAATTACATCCAGACCACCTTGTGTGTGATCCATGTTAAATAAAAAGGAGGTAAAGAGGATGCACATAAAGAAATTAAATAATGTTTACCATATAGGTTTAGTGAGGAACAACAATTAGCTAAAATGCAGGCCCATTGTACTGTAAATGTACAAATGAAGGAAAAGTCAGTGCTTTGAATTTATTATCTAAAGTCAATACATGTACGATGAAAACAAAAGTGCACCACAGTACAATTTGTACAGGTTGTACCGACCTGTATTGTAATAATGTATGTTCTCTGGCACGGTACCAATCCATTTATCCCTGAGAAAGACCTAATGGCCACCAGCATAATCAGCCGTATTAGTGCTGAACCTTATTAAACAATGCGTCCCTTTCCTCGCAGTCAAATTTGGGTGTCAAAGAAAGGACACCGTTAATCAATCATGTTGAAGAGTCTAGCATAAAAGCGAGTAAATCCTGCATCAATGTAAACGAATACTAATCCAAATTCCTTGGGCTGGTTTAGCTAGGTCCCACTTATTAGGTATTTTTCAACAGAGAGATGTTTGATTTGTCAGTAATAAACTAAGGAAAGGTGACTGTGGCAGTAGTGGTTCTACTGAAGTTAGGTATAAAGGTCTAAGGGCACATGTTGTGGTACAAGACTACTGACACCATCAATTACAGCCGGAATACATGGGGCAAGTAGGCGGGGCAGAGTGGGGTTTTTAACTGCTACACTTTTTTGTACTTGCATGCCAGCTTAACATATTCACATACTGAGTTACGCCAAGTGACAATGGAGTTGGTTATGCAAGGTTTGGAAGCACAGGCTAGTTTAACTGGTACTGTATTAACTAACTGGGTAATTTTAACTACATGATAATGGATACACATTGATTTATTTTAATGTGGGATGTTGTGTGTTACAAAGATTCCGTTTATTATAATGGACATGCTCTGCTGTCCGGGCCCCATGTATTTTGGCCTTTAGAACAGTCATAGCCACAAAAGGGACAAAAGTAATAGCTAAAGTTGTTTTCTTGTTTTATTCTTTATGTAATGCCAATTAAACTCTTTTATTGAAAGCTATTACATTAAATAATTATCTTGTACATCTGTGACTATAACTGATTCCAGATATTCCACTTCCTGTAGTAGATGTCAATCCATATAATTACTCACTATTTATGATAATAGTGATTAGCTGTGACCTTACCATCTGGGAGGGGCCCTGTAGATGGACTACAGACATGTCAGTGACTCTGCATCCCACATCATAACGTAGAGTATGGGTGGATGGATAAACAGATATACAGGTTGTTAATTCTTTAAAATGCTCATCTAATGACATCATCTGCTGTCTCATTGGAAAATGGGTTACAGCTACAGTTTTGTTATTTGTCCATTGGCGAAACCATTTAAATTATGCATCTTTCATTTTCAGATCTGTGCTCTGCAATGATCCAGATATGTCTGATATCCCTGTCAACGTCCCTGTGGATACAGTCAAACTTCGTATTGAGAAAACGGGGGTACGGCGAATCCCAACAGAAGCTTTTTACTACCTGGCGGAGCTACGGTACCTGTGGATTACTTACAATTCCATAACCTCTGTGGATACTGCAAGTTTCTATAACCTCAAAGTGCTGCACGAACTCAGGCTGGATGGAAACATGATCTCCATGTTCCCTTGGGAGTCTCTGAAAGAGATGCCCAGGCTGAGGACACTGGATCTACACAACAACAGAATCACTAATGTTCCCAGTGAGGCAATACCCTACTTCCTCAACATTACATACTTGGATCTATCCAGCAACAAATTAGCCACCCTGCCCTCTGATCTCATGGATATATGGCCCCCCTTCAATGGAGCGCCCATCTCCACTAATGCTTCCCAGAAAATTGTGTTAGGTAAGGATACAAAGTTTGGCTTGGTTTTACAGGATATTAAGGCCAGGGCAGGAGACATTTGGGGTTATTTGTAATTACCTCAGGAACATCATTCCATCACCTTTTAATCTTGCCAGATTTGGTCTGACTGACTCAAACCTGCCATGATAGTGACTGCCAGGGCACATACAAATTAGCTTATGCTAAGTAGTGGCAGAGTTAACGCTTAATGTACATTATCAATTTATCGTCCTAATTAACTGTTGAATATTTAACACACTGCTTCGTGTAAATCCAAGCCAGGGTCAAATTCAGTGAACACACTGCGAAAACAACTGTATAGCAAGTGCACCGTGTTACATGTGCCCATGCAATATAGTAAACTTATACAATAGAGTTAAATACAGTACATGTACACTGATCAGCCATAACATTATGACCACCTCAGCGCCCTGGTGGTCATAATGCAAACTGACACCCTTCTATCAGAACCAGCATTAACAGTTTCAGCAGTTTGAGCTACAGTAGCTTGTCTGTTGGATCGGAACATACGGGTCAGCCTTCGTTCCCCACGCACATCAATGAGCCTTGGCCACCCATGACCCTGTCTCCAGTTCACTGCTTTTCCTTCCTTGGACCACTTTTGATTGGTACTGACCACTGCAGACTGGGAACACCCCACAGGAGCTGCCGTTTTGGAGATGCTCTGACCCAGTCGTCTAGCCATCACAATTTGGCCCTTGTCCAAGTTGCTTAAATCCTCATGCTGCCAATTTTCCTGCTTCTAACACATCAACTTTCAGGACAAAATGTTCACTTGCTGCCTAATATATCCCACCCACTGACAGGTGCCATGATAACCAGATAATCAGCGTTATTCACTTCACCTGTCAGTGCTCATAATGTTATGGTTGATCAGTGTATATTGTTTCAAGCTAGGATGACCTGTGACTTGTAATATTTTCTAGTGATCCGTTGAACATCTATCACAATTTATGATAACCCCACTGTTGGTTGCTTCATTTACATTCTGAAACACCCAAAACTGATCAAAATAATCAGTGTCATACTTTCTCATTGTCCTTTTAATGGCTTTTTGGAAACCACTGACTAGAAATTAACATATGTGGAATAGCTTGTGGTTGCAATGGTTATATGCTTTAAGAAAAAAACACTGCCCTGCTCATATATAGTATAGTAGTAGTATAATATAATAAGTTTAACTGGTAAGTAAATATTCAACATTGACCAACCTATTCTCAGTCAGTTATTGCTGCAAATACATTGCTATTATCTTGCACAAGCATGCATTTTAATTTACTTTACACTGACAATTACTGTCCAATTTTGAACTGATAACTTTCTGTGCATTTAAAAAAACTGTAAAAATTTACAATGACACACCTGATGTTCAAAAATGCAAAAAAAATATATATGTTTAAAGCTTTAGCACAAAATAAATGTTACTGGCTTTTTTACAATTCAGTTCAATTTATTTTGTGATAACAGAGTAGTGTTCCCTAATAATATGCATACACAGTTGGGCAATTATGAGTGGATATGTCAGTATAAAGGAAACTCATGGCAGCAACATGTGCTAACTGCTGCCAACTGTAGCTGTGGTCAGCTAGTCAGAGTTGAGGCAGAGCAGCTGGAGGACATCAGAGGGAAAATATATTCTCCTTAAAATATTAACCCGAGTCACCAAAATCTGTGAGTAAAGTTAAAAAGCTGTGTTTTTGTACAGAATGTTAAGTCAGTGAGGCAAGGCCCCCAGAAACAATGGGGGTCGGCATTCAAGCTAATTCCGCAAATAGAGCAGGTCTGTGAAATCAGATCACAAGTGGTTACGTGACAACGCATGTGGACACACATTCTAATGCCAGGTGTGAACTGACGTACTTAGAGCTGTCCACCAGTGATTGGATCACTCAGGACGCATGGCATTAAACCAGGTGTAAACAGGGCCATAGATTAGGAACTTCAACAACTCCAGAAAAAATATCTTCCTTTAGAGTCAACTACTTGCTTTTGGGCATTGGATTTGGGCATTTGTCACTGAAATATCTTGAACCACTGGCCACTTCTTTATAACCCTGTCCTCCATTGCTAACAAACAGCCAGGGGCAAGGAGGGAGAAAAATGTAGATGGGAATTATGAAGGTTTTTTTAAGGCTTCTTTTCAGGCAGTGGGCCTGAAAAGGAGCTTTCAAAGTCAAAAGTCAAAGCACATACTTATAGTAAGTCTTTTACTGTGTGGTATGTGTAGGGACAGTACAAATCTTACTCATTCATTTCAGTCCATTTTAATAGTCTATTTCTTACAGTCTAATCTGTGACACTACCTTGCAGTGAAAAGAGTTTAAAGATATTGTGGAGTGAAACTAAATCTTAATAGTTTTTATTAGAATATGTCTAGCATTTTAATCAATGTTCAGCCTTTTCTGTCCCATTCTTATTTAAATTATATTTTTGTTATTAGACTTGCATGTAACTGTATGTCAACATGTCATTTTCTTAAAGATTCTATCAGCCTAGCATATATGAGACTGGATGATGTTTGTTCAGAGCATCTGTGTGGTTAGACAGTGGGAGGGATATTGTTAATAGGCTGTATAAACTAGCTTATCCATGCTGAAGGAGCTGGTTGTGTGCACTGGTCTACCTGAAGGAGAAATAGGATTAGGGATTTAGGAAAGAAACAGTCCACACACTAACAGATGACAGCTTCTCTAAACCTACTGGCTATTAGTATTATATGAAAGGTGTATTCACCTTTACTGTTTTTAAATATTTGACAACTATCAAAAAATAAATTAAAAATAAATATACTTTAAAGTATAAAACAAAAATTTAAATGTATTTTGGCCTTAAAACAAGAATTCACTGACAACTTAATGTTCAGTTTTAATTAGGTTCAGAGACTGTATTAAACCACAAAAATGCTTCCTTCAAACAACAAACCTGACACATAGATTTTACAGTGTTTATGTTGTTAGTGATCTATTGACATTCATGTTAACAGAAAAGCTAATAGAAAGACTGTGTTGCCACAAACTGTGGGAAGGCCAGAGCCAGCTTAGGTGCTTTGCTACTGTTAAGACAAACTAATCTGGTTAAAGGGCTTTAATATTTACCAGTACATGTGCTTACCTATTGTGCGCAGAAAGTGTTTACAGAATTTGTAATGATAGGTTCAATTCCATTGCCCTTGAATTTCATTGTCATTATGCCTAAAATGGTGTGCATTTCAAAGCAAAAAAGAGAAAGCTAAATTCAAGGCAGTTGCTGTTTTGTATGCAAACTCATGGCACCCATTGTTTGCAATGGTGATTAGCTCAATTTAGAGTATACAACATTAGCTGGTTATTGTTATGGTTTCGTCAGGATTTGTTTGTTTGTTTTCTTGTGCCCCATACATGAATTTGGCTTTAACAAACTATTTTACATTTTTTGTTTTCCACGCTTCCCTAAAGTCATATGTCCATGTTGGAAAAAAGCAACACTTAAACTTGCCCTGAAGCTGCTTCCATGACTGTAATTCACTCCTTTAATAAGGTTTTTTTTTAACATGACTTTGTAGCACCATAATCTTTAAAGCTATTTGAAAGGCAGTTGAAATTTGCAAAAACTGAATGTCAATGAGTCATATCACACATTTGTTTTGCCTCTTTACTGTTACATTGCCATCTGTATCTTCCATTCTTTCTATTATTGATCAACAAAAATGCTTTAAAGTAATATAGCATTTAAATGGATGGTGTTTGACACTACAATGGTATGAAACAGCAAACAATGATCCTAATTTGTTTTATCTTTTCATCTTCAGGCATCCAAGATAACCCCTGGTTCTGTGACTGTAAAATCTCCAAGCTGATTGAGCTTTCTAAAATGGTTAACACACCAGTGGTTTTGATGGACCTAGTCCTGACCTGCAGTGGACCAGATAACCTGGCTGGTGTCCTTTTTCAGCGTGCTGAACTTGACAACTGTGTCAAACCATCAGTCATGACTTCGGCAACCAAGATCACATCTCCTTTGGGTAGTAATGTTCTCCTGCGGTGTGACGCCACAGGGTTTCCAACACCAGCTCTTAACTGGGCTAAGTCAGATGGCTCACCAGTCAACAACACAGGTATGATACGCAGGCTTTTGAAAGTTTACACATTTCTGAAAAGCAAAACCAATTCTATTTTCAAATTCAATGACATTTACGCATTTAGTAACTCATATATTACATGCAGATTCTCATTGCCTGGTATGTACAGAGCATTACGGTCTGTTGTACTTGTGCCACAAGGTGATAATATATTTCATTAAACATGCAAAGCAGGAGCAGCAAGAGTTGGTTAGACTTGATCTATGTTAACTTTTGTGTCATTGTTCCACTTAACAGTCCAGGAGTCACCTGGGGACGGCGTCAGATGGTCCATCATGAGTTTGCATGGAATATTGTACAAAGACGCCGGAAACTACAGTTGCAAAGCAAAGAATGTTGCAGGCAATGCAGAAGCCAGCATTTCTATCTCGATTGCTGGTAGCAGCAGTACCACTATCCCTCCAGTGACCCCTAGCATTGAAATTGGACCAACCAGCCAAGGCACAACATTTACTCCCCCAACGGACATTCCCAACTCAACCACAATCACATCCACAGTTCTTCCAAGAACATCAACAACTCTGTACACAACAACTGCTACCCCTAAGAAACCAAAAACAACCCCCAGCAACATTATACAGAAAGGGAAACAAGGGAAAATCCAGCAAGGAGGTAATGGGCGAAAGCTTGCAGCAGATGAAAAGAGCAAGAAAATTGATGTATCAAAATCTGTAAAAGACCTTAAGATTGTAGAGGAAACATCAGACACTGCAGTTTTGCTCTGGACAGCAGATGGGTTATCAAATGATGCCCCACTCACAGTTGTATATTCACCTTATGATGAGGATGACAGCAAAAGCACAGTGGAGACTAATGCTGGCAGTGGAAAAGTGCTACTAGAGGGACTGTCATCTGGAATGAGGTATTCTGTTTGCCTTGTAGCAAAAGGTAGTGCTGCTGGAAAAGATCCTTGCATTGACTTCTACACACTGGACAATGTAGAAGATGGTGGTCAGAACCAGCTTTTCGTTATCATAAGTGGCATTGCCTGTGCTTTGGTTTTGCCTCTTATTGCACTGCTACTCTACAAGATTCTTGCTCTGTACTGCAAGGGACCCAACACAGGTTTAGATGAAGAAGAGCTTGAAAAAGAGAGCTATGTCAAGTTTGAGACAATTTCAATGAAACAAAGGACCTTGAACTCTCATCCAGCCGAGCTTTGGGCAAGGAGACAGACTCGTGAATCAGAGCGAATGCTGCTGTGCTCTAGGTCAAGCATCGACTCCCAGATGACCTATAAGAGTGACAGTTCTCGGTCTGAGTATCTCTGCTGATGCCAGGAATCTGTGGCCAATGTCCAAACGCCATGCTAACACATTTTATGAAATAATTAAAAATAAAATATGTATGCCTTTTATGACACTGATAAACTATTACCTATAAAATCATTTATAAATCTTTATAATATATTATTCCATTTTGTCACATCAGTGGGGCTGTAAAGAAACTAAACTAAAAGTCTTGAATGGTGTCACATTTATTCAGAATTTTCCATAAACTACTAATTTATAAAGATTTATATAATGATTTAGAAAAGTGTAGTTAACATGAAAACATTCCCTCGAGGTTGTTCAAAAGAACAAGAGATTTTTTTGTTACAAACCAAATCAGACCAGTCAATGACTGTCTGATATCTTTATTCATGTCCTTATTCATTTTGGAGCCTTACATTTCATAAAGAGTTTGAATGGTTGCCACTACAGCACGGTACCTTTGTTGGACTTGTATAACTTGTATAAATAGTACCATACAAAGAGCCTGTCAGTTAGCTGCGTGTGGTGTTTTATCTTATACCCAATGCCAAAGTTTAAGTGTCACATACAAATATTAAATGGTGTCAAAGAAGACCCATTATCCACTTCCCATCACATTTACAACATCATTGTTGCTTTAAGCATCAAGCTGATTGTTGCCTTAATGGACCAGAAAGTACTGTCAGTGTGTTTGATAGAATATATGACTCCTCTTATAAACATTGCCTGTTTCTATGACTTTGTGTATATATTTGTCTATAAATAGAGTTGTACATTTGTTTTTGAATAAATTGAACAACTGTTGAAACTATCATTGTTGTACCATGTTATCTGCGTAAATATGTGCACATAGGTATCTCCCTTTTTATTTTGTACCTGTGTAGGAGATGTTAATCTACATTTTCTTTGTATACTTGATAGAAGGCCACTAAAACTACAATAACTGTCCTTTACTAATTATTTACCAGTAATCTTCCAGTGCTACCAAAATTAATACATTCAACATTTTTCAAAGAGACCGTATTTTTGGTAAATAGGGTTAATTCATACATTAAAAATCTATGTTGTGTTTTCATAGGCATAGTTTTAGTAATGTGTGCTCTTTCTAGTGTTCCCCAGGTGAAACTAAATCTTAATGTTACAATGCACACTGTACATCATGTACTGTATACAGCAGTGCTCTCTTCTTAGTCTCCTGCTGTGACTTAAAAAAACCAAGAGAGCTTGCTGACCTGAATCCCAGACAGACACTGTTCCACACCCTGGAGAACCAGGACAGCAAACGTACAGTCCCCTCATGTTTTCAGTCTTGTGTGAGGCACTACTAGCAGGCCTTGCTGAGAGGAGCAAAGGGACCTAGCAGAGGAACATGGCATTACTATCTCACTAAAATATTCTGGTGCAAGATTATTCAAAGCCTTATAGGTCAGGAAGAGGATGTTGAATTGAAACCTAAATTTAACTGGAAGCCAATGAAGTGACATCAGAACCAAGGTGATGTGGGAGCAATATGAGGTCTTAGTGAGTAGTCTTGCTGCAGAGTTGTGGACTAATTGTAACCGGTTAACAGTGTGGTTGCTTAAGCAGGAATAAAGCGGAAGTAGACTGAACAGAAGGACACAAATGCATAGATAACAATTTCCAGCAACTGGAAAGATAACATCTAAATCTTAGTTGAAGACAACATGATTTTTGAAAACAAGAACTTTAGTTTTACTTTGACTTCCAGTTATTAATCTCAGCTAAACACAATGTAGAGTAGTTCAATTAGAGAGGTCACCAAGCCTAACAGATAATAGAGTTGTGTATCATCAACATAGCAATGATAAAAATCACGATTAAATTGATGGATCAAGTGCCGTAAAAAAAGCATGATGAAAATAAAATGGGTCCAAGAACTGATTCCTGAGGCAACCCACGAGTCAAAGATCAGGAGGAGACGTCTTCATCGGTGAATAAAAAAACCTTCCGGTTGGATAAGTAGGAGGAAAACCAGTTTAGTGCCACACCAGATATCTCAACCTATTTTCTAGCCAGACGATTAGAATAGCATCAACTGTGTCAAAGGCCACGGACAAAACTAAAAGAACTAAAGTGGCAATTTTACCATGGTCTAGAGCTCAGGGGTCACCAACACGGTGCCCGGGGGCACCAGGTCGCCCCCAAGGACCACATGAGTAGCCCGCAGGCCTGTTCTAAAAATGAAAATATAATATTGATATTATCTGTTTCCCACCTTGTTAAGTCATTGTTGATAATTACTGTGAGAAATCATTAACGTGATCAGTGACTTCACTTGATGAGTATCAATAATCATGAATAATAATATATAACTAAAGGCAAACTGAGCAAATTTGTTATTTCAGAAGAGTGTAACTGGTAGCCCTTCGTATGACTCAGTACCCATGAAGTAGCTCTCAGTTTCAAAAAGGTTGCTGACCCCTCTCTAGCTGCTGAATAATATTATTTGTGACCCTTTGTATTTGTGAAGAGCTGTCTTCTTGAAAGATTGATATTTATCAAAAATTAAATTTTCCATAACCAGTTCCAGGAATTGCTTATTGGGTGTTAATCTTGGATGCAAAAGGAAGCTTGGAAATGAGTGTGTAATTCGTAGGTATGTCAGGTTTAAAGGCTGGTTTCTTTGGAAGCGGTGCATCCTTAATTCAGCAAAATCATAAAGTCTTTCATTTAAGCATACTAAACAAGAAGTCATGAGGTTTTCCATCCATGCTCTGCTTGTCTACATTCTCTTCTCAGAGCACAGATGTTATTTATCTAGGGAGATGAATTGGCCAGTGATTTGGTGTTGAGACAGGCAGCAGCTTGTAGAGCAGATGCATATAAAGCATTAAAATGGTTGACCATGTCATCAATATTTGGAAATGATGACCCACCTGTGTCCAGCACAGAAAAGCAGAAGAAAATGTAGCTATGGATTGACTGTTAACAAGACAACATGTTACAGTGTGGAAAATGATTGGGTGTAAAAATGTAACATAATCATGATCATTCTATTTCAGAGAGCCAGGTATTATGTGTGTACTATATACGTGTGTGATGCCTGTACTTCAGTAGACACACAGACACAAGAAAGAGAAGAGTGGCTTAAAAAACAGCATATAACCTATTATGACTCAAACAATGTGTTATGTAGAAGCAATATATACGGTTGCTACTGGTAAAAGTATGATCAATGTCATTTATGAATAGAATTGGCCATAAAAAGGTACAACAACATATCACATGTGTTCACTCAGTTTAGCTAAGAGCAGGCGCGTTCATCCTGAAAATCAATGGGTCACAGTTGTCACGCTCTATGAACATCTGAGCAGACGCTTCCGTAAATCCTGATGACGAGTGGACCTGCAAAACTGTTCCCATGGATACCTCTGTGCCACCAACTGTATGAGCCTGCAGCACTAAGTAATCTCTAATGCCAGCTGTGCTGTTATCATGGCAACAGCCAAGCTGTTTTAACAAACAGATTTAATGGTAGACAAGGAGGGGCTGGGCTGGTAACAATAAGATATGTACATATATGATAGCAGTTCGATGGAAATACAGACAGGTGGATTGATAGCTTGGTAGATAACTAGGTAGATAGATGGCCCTCAGAGGGAACAGGGCCAGGAGGATAGTCAGAGGGAAAAGAGAGACAGACAGACATAACAACAGATCAATGAACAGACGTATACAATATATTTCTTGTTTAACCATGAAACAGTTAAACTGTGGTCCATAAAAGTTAGTCCAGACAGGGAAGCCGGAAGTGAGATATTTTCACTGCTCTAGAGGCTTTACAGTTGCATCACAAATCTCCTGGCAGCCCTGACTTGGTGCCATTATAGAAGTCCAGTGGAAAATTGGCCTCATGTAGTAACTAACAACAAAGCTAGAGAAAGACATTGCTCAAAGATTGTTGTGGTTCTTGAACCATTTTGTAACGTAAGAGATAACTAAGTGGAATTAGGCAGCTAACTTGAGGTTAATGTGAAACAAACTTATCCATAGCTCTTCCAGCCAGCTCAAGCCCAATGCCATTACAGCTTGATAAGTCAGTGCATTAATCCATTTCACTTACTGAAATTACAGCAAACATCACAGAGCACCTAATGTTACATTTGTGTTAAGTTTTTACCTCATTTTTGTTGACACTAAATGCAGCAAAAATACCTAAACACAAAGTACAGTATATTATTTACTAAAGTCATAAAATAAATGGAATTACCCGTATCAGTATATCTAACCTGACAAACCTGGTCAACAGTTTTCAGTAGCAGAGTATGGAGAATATTAACAAGTCAAATTAAACCAAACAAATTTATACAACAATATATTACAATAATAATCTTAAAAAATAAATACAGACTACATATTTTGGGCAGTAGCAAATTAAAATCTAAAAGTTAGAATGAGTGAAGACTTGGCAAGTATGAAAGGTTAGCATGACTTGAGTTATGGAGTCTCAAATGTTTTGTATTGTAAATGCTTGAAAGGGACTCACCAGCTGGAATTAAGAACTGGAACTATCTGTCTTACAAAAGCAACGACATGAGGTGGCATTTAATGCAGCAGGAGAATATACATCTTTGTATCCTAGATACGCACTCTACCTGATGATTCAAACCCATGTGTGATTGTCATTCAGCACGAGTCACATGAAGTGAAACTTGTAGACATTAACATTTTCATTGTTATCTGCCAGTTGTGAAATCGTGGGAAAAGGTTAGTACCCTTCAAACTGCTAACATTAGTCTGGAGACAAGCGACTGTCTCAGCAGTGTAAATCTTCTACTGCCGGTTACTGGTGACAATATCCTAGTCATGGAGGGTATGAATAGAGGTTTTGGTTCGTGGAGTCTGTTAGCTGTTCTCCTGGGTAAAAAGAGGACAAACAATTTAAGGATAATCTGCTCCACTCCTCCTCCATGCTCTATAAATTACTCATTCTACCGAATCCCCCGGAAGCCAGACGGACTTCAACAGGAGACACATTGACTTCTCATTCACACACAGAATCCAAAACAGAGTGTCTATTGTGTGTGTGGTATATGTAAATTACACTTGTACTGTATGTCATTTATGAATCGTGTTATAGTCTAGAAAAAAGGTACTAAAGGTAAATACATGTATTTCAGGGTTGTGTTCGGTCTAATATGTAATGTCATTGTCCCACTCTCTCTCTTTCCGACACAAAGGCTTTGTCTCAAACAGACACATCCATCCGCATTCAGAAAGGACACGGGTCAGGGGGTGGAGTGAGGGTAAGATGTTGTTATTATGTGGGACCTTTCTTCGGCCCAGCCTCATCTCTTGCATATTCCAAATTCTGCTTGAGACACTGACTAAAGCTTAAGGAAGATCCTGCTCCAATACAGGACTAGCATGTGCAAAATTTACCACGGGGGTGTCAGGAATTTCAATCTTTGCTTCCAAAACAGACTGGCAGCCTGGGGGCCAAAGTGGGGAGTGAGTAGGATCCCACACACATTTTTTTTTTCTTTGGGTTGAACACTGTACTAGCAGTATTATCTTCTTCATTCTGGGTACTCCATCTTTTCATTGGGGTACATCTCTTTTTAAAGTGACATTTTTCGGCATGTAAAGCTCCACTGTCTTGGACAAGGATGCCAACAGCCCATAAACAAACATTGCTTAATTTTGGAGAATTCTTGTGCGCCAGTGGGAATGCCTGAGAAAAAGTGATCAAGTGCAGCTCCCGAGGCAAGGACGGAGTGCAGGATTATGTTGGCTGCAACTATCACAGCAGCTCTGATCTATTTTATGGTGCAAAGCTCTGGAGTCTTGGCCCTTGGTACAGCATGTTGGGATGAACGCCTATCGCGAGCGGGGAGAAACAGCAGCTGTGTGGGTAAGTTTGGTTGACTCTCTACTGCCCAGACCAATATTCCAAACTTCCTTTTCAATTGATACTGACATAAGTCATGTTGAAAGCACTGTAGACTACTGGATACTGCTGTATATAAGGTCTTTTTGTCCTTAAATCATGTGTGTCTACAAATTGCTGTGTAGATTTATTGTGCTTGGCAAAGAATCTTGTTACGATTACAATCCTACGAGAATCAAAAACAGTATATCTTCTGGGTGTCGTTGGTACTTCAATGAACTTGAAAAGTTTAAATGATCACAGGGGAGTTTGGCCAGGAACATGAACTGCTTTCATAAGGCACAAATAAATAATGTTAAAACGTGATTATCTTAAATATATGGCTATATCATTATGAATACACATCAAGAGCACCACACTGCACAGCAATCACCAACACATTTAATTTAATCTATCTTCTGTATTCATTTTAAGTGGATTAGGATTACCTGAAGTTTTTTATAACCTAATTTCTATGTCTTTTAATTTCAACAAAACTTTTGCTTCAGTGATTCAAAATTCACAATTTTTGTAGTTGCTAGATATACCCTTCTGCACAAAAGTTCCCCTCTCTATGTGTATACACCCCATAACCACCATACTATTACAAGTACTTCTATAACTACTATTCTGTTTTTGGCTGGTACTAAAAAAAATTAAAAATAAAATATAAAAAATAAATTGCATTCAACAAAAAGTCCCTCATATCAAGTAACAGCAGAGAACCAGACGGTAAAAGTCAAGCACTCTACAGTGTGTGGCTAAGCGGACAATACAATGCACTGTAGTAGGTACAGTAAGCTGGCCTGTGCTTGGGTGGGTGTATCTAAAGTTGAGCCAAAGTTTTTTGTGGGATGCCACAAGAACATCAGTTGAAGCTTACAGATGGTGATCACTGGTGTCCAAAAGGTTACCACGAATATGCCAGATTGGCAGAGTGTAGCTTTATCTCAGCAGAACGTAAACCAATACCATGGAGAAATTCTCGTTACTGTTCTGTGTACTCCGCAGATAGGTCAAAGGTCATGGTCAGCTACAGAACAACATCCTTTCAGTCCAGCAGGGTGGATACTGGTAATCAGTGCAGGTGGTGGAACCTGGACCTTTATATGGAAGGCAGTCTGGAAGATTCCTTATTTGTTTTACTTTATTTTTTTAAATTACATTCTACCTAGGGCTGGGCGATATAGATGAAACATGTCTTCTAAAAACACATTTCATTTCAGTCTACTGTTAATAGAATTCATTTTTAATTACCTACTAAAGACCAAGTGAAAAAAGGTTGAATTAAATCACTATATGCATCAAGGCACAGGGGTAACAACTGTAATGTTAATGTTTTTCATACAGTATTGTTGCTGTCTCTCCTTTGTGGACTGACTGCGGATTGTTTCCTGACATGCAGGTGATGACTGACGACATGCAGCATACTTCAAATGATGGAAGCAGCTCATAGCATGCTCCATTATTAAGGGATATGGGCCTGGATGATATTTTATCATTAATTCTAACAACCTGAAGCAGCACATGCTGTGGCTGCAACAGCAAATATGGCTGTCCCCACACACCAAAGATGAGATAACAAAACACCTTTTTGCTCCTAATGTACTTATCTTACTCAAGCCCCTTTTCTAGTTTGTGATCAGATACAAGTACTGGTTAACTTGGAATAAACAGAATGAGGCCAACTCTGTCAACAAATGTTGTCTCATGCTATACATTGTCATATTACCCAACCCTTATTGTCAGTATGCAATGTTGCTTGATGAGTTTAACAATTCACCCACAGCTCAAATACTGAAGCAGTTGGTTGGTTTGATGAGCAACAGTATTGCATTGAATAACCCAATTTAATGACTTAGCATCCCAATGGCCACTCAAGCCACCCTAACAAGTTTTACCACAATGTAAATTGGAAAATCAATGTCCATATTGACTGCCTAGAGCAATGGAAACACCTGTTTTTGTGTCACGTTGCTGTCAGATTTAAAAAGTGCCTATTTGTTTGTTTTTATTGGAAAATGGGAAATGCTGGTTTTAAAGTATCTATTTTCTCAATAAGTTATTGAACTGAGCTTACTACTAGGTCAAGAACCATACTAAGAATCATGCTGACCACCATGTGAACCTTTCAATTAATGATTCATCGGGATGCCTCCTAGCAACTCAGAACCAGTGGCCATCTAGGGGACATACATTTCATTATGTTGTTCGTCTAGTCGCTCATTGTTTTCTTCATTCCACAGAGTTAAGAGCAGTAGCCATGGTTGCACATGACAGTGTTATTACCATGATAGACCAGAGTACCATCTATCAGTAGTAATCCATACAGCAAACACAGATTTGTTTTCACCTCCGAGCCCATTTTAACAGGCTCCAAACTACATCTATGTGTTGTGAAATCTAATTCAGTGTTTCCAGCAACAGACACGTTGGAATGGATGTCCACTCATTCATCCACTTTACTGTGAACATTTTGTGTACTAAAGCAGAAACCTGTAAGAGAAAATAACCTTTAACTGCATTCATTGCAGAGTATCATTAGAGCCAACGGATCATGCAAGAGCTATTAGTTGCTAAGGAATAATGTTTTATCCAGAACCAGCTGAGTCTGCCTTGAACTTCATCCATTAACAGCCATGAATAGGCTTTATATCAGAGAATTTGACAAATTTAACGACAACTGCAGTGTGACACAAAGAGGGAAGCAGCAGCTATTGAGGTGTTAAATGCTGCCATAGTTACCTACCGGCCCCTGGGATTCACTTAGTTAAACTGAGAACAAGCAAATATGATTTCATTAGCATGAAAAACCTGCACACATTAACTGGCCTGGCACTGGTACAAAATGCAAAATAAAACTGAAATGAATAAATATGCTGTTGTGATGCATTCAGTCAATCTATGGCTGAAAAATGGGAGATATATAGATAATACAACACACTAGATCCTCTGCATTTTACTACTACTAATACAACAATCGAACCCTTTTAAAGCAAAAATGCTAAATATTCTTTGGCTTATCAATTAAGAAAACATGCTGTTCTTTTTCATACATGACAGTAAATTAGGTTTGGGCTGTTGGTCAGACAAATCAAGCAGACTTGAAGACTTTGCCATGCTTTCTAAGAAATTGTGAATGGCAGTTTACCGAAATTGAATAATTTTCCACTTCAACTCCTGGAATAATACACCTGAAATGAGGGTCAATTGTAGCTTGTAGTAATGCATTTCATTCACTGTTAATAGTTAAGCAGAAGATTTTATACTGATATAAACACTTCATGAATCACTCAAGGGAAGAAATGTCTGACATAAAGTTGTGGCTATTTAAAAGCTTCGCTTTGATATTTTTTATGAAACAAAAACAAAAGTCCTACATTATTTACAATTTTAATGCCTGAGCCCATAAATACTGTTGTAAGGAGGTCGCTTTGAGGTTACTGCACTGCTGAGTAGCAAATACTGAGGTACCTTTGTTTACAAATGTGGGGCTTTGGAATGATCATGTTATAGCGGGTTAAAAGAATTCATGAGATTCATGAAAAACGTGTGATGTTTTATTTTTTTTAAGCTTCACAGCCCTTCTTGATATTCGGCCATGGTAAAGCCATTCATCGGATGGACCTTGATGGGAAGAACCAGAGAAGGCTTGTGGCTGGGGTGGCAAGTTCTATCCTGCTCGACTTTCATTTCAGAGAAGAGAGAGTTTACTGGGCCAACAAACACACAGGGGTCATCTACAAAGCATCAGTGAGGGGAGCACACAGACAGGTGATTATTGTAACTATGTAAAGTGTATTTTTTTGACATTTGACAATTATGCATTGGTCTGGGATTCGATTAACAATTCTAAATTGAATATTTATGTTCCAGAAACTGTACTCATCTGACAAACATATCACGGGCCTTGCAGTGGACTGGATTTGGAACAGTGTATATTGGACAAGTGGAGAAAAGGGAAAAATCAAGAGAATGGATAAAAATGGGAAAAATGAAAGGACTCTTTTAAGACACTTGACGCAACCAAGTTCCCTAACAGTTGACCCCACCAACAGGTAATCCATTCTGCATTACACGTTGATGTTTGTCATAACGGCGCTTCTTTTCTCATATAGGCAGATTGTGGGAGAGGTCAAATAATATTGACTGTATGAAATGAAAAGATGAGCTGGAGCAGTGCAGACTATTCTCATACAGCTCCTCACACAGTTCAGGTTCCTGGTATTTTGTTTGTGTGTTTCTATAAATGTTTCATCTCTCTCCATCAAACATGGCTGACACGGAAGTGAAGAATGAAAGACTGACTTTCACATGCCACCAGTCTCTCTGGTCAAAGATTTATTGGATTTTGCTCCAATAAATTGACATGTGGATATGCAAAGGTTTATGATTATAAAGCTCCTGATTTGAAGGGGGTGTTAGAATCATGTTAGCATTCATATGAAAAATATACATTGGCACAAGCTTCTCACTTAATTTTCACAATTTCTAATGGACAAACACATATAGCTATATATATATATATATATATATATAGATAGATAGATAGTGAGGAATACTTCACTGCAACCCCCTTCTGACTTTTAAAACACATATTTTGCAGGTTTCTGTTTTGGCTGTCTGGTGGGATGATTCCGAGTATCCAGCGGTATGATGTGGCAGGTCAGATGAAAACTACGCTCATTAAAATGTCGGAACAACTGAGAGCGCTGTCGATTGACAGACAGGAGAAAAGGCTGTTCTGGGTTCAGTTTGGTCTGCAAGGAGAAAGTGCCATTGCCTCTTGTGATTACAACGGGAATGTCCTGCACATCATAGATCACCCACTTCAGTGAGAATGTTGTTGCATTCTAATTACTTTTGCTCTTATTTTTGTTAGTAATTTTAAGCAAACTGGGATAAACACTTGTTTTTGTCTCCTTTGGTCAGGGCTCAGTCACTGGGGATATCAGTTTTTCTGGAGCATTTATACTACAATGATGCTGCGTCTCAGGTTATAAAAAAAGTAAACAAGCACACTGGTGGACAGTCGCTGAGTGTTAACATAAAACCAATGGCAAAACCTGCAGTTGATATTAAGGTGGTACATCCCCTCAACCAGCCAATGGCAGACTCCCAATCATCATTTCCAGGTTACAGCTGTATTTACTTACTACTCATATTTACAATATTTTAGACCTGACCCATTGACGATGGCAATGTTTTGGTAATATATGACTGTTAACCCTTTTCAACAGGTTGTGACGAACAAAGGGGAAATTGTGTCGATGTGTGTTCCAGTCTAGCCGAGCAGGGGACTTGCCAGTGCAGTGAGGGCTTTGCACTCAATAAGCAAGGCACTCATTGTGAAGGTTGGTATCTATGTCAGTTAAATTTGCAATCACAAACAACAGTATACAGTAAAGTATGGCAAGGCATTTAAATAAGAGCATCTACTAAAACCACATAAAAAGGTTCTATCACTTTATTTTTCTGTCTGCCATAGATGTGAATGAATGTGCCTTCTGGAACCATGGCTGCTCTCTTGGTTGTGAAAACATCCCAGGCTCCTATTTCTGCACCTGCCCTAAAGGATATGCCCTCCTACCAGACAGGAAGACATGTCAAGGTATACTTGAAATATATTTGTTATTGTTATTATGTTGAACATATTACTAATATTTTCTATTTTTTTATACTATTCTATTTGATTTTCTTAAAAAGCAAATTCATGGCACAAACAAAATAAATGAAGACAGTGTTTTTCAAACTTTTTACACAGACACCTCACACCTCAGTAAACATAAGGCTCACCAAGTGCCACCATTATGGCCAATGATAAAATACAGTAGTGTAAGCCAACCCTGTTCATATATGGACACGTCATGCAGGAGGCGGGTTTAACAATAATTAGCACCTGTTGTTAAATCCTGAATGGAACCGATTCAAGGACCTGAATAATTTGGTGTAAAGCAGATACTTCTGGTCCGTTCTCTTCCTAATAGTTTCCTTTTGCAGCTATGCTTGCAGTATTTTTGAACTATTCATTATAACTCTGCTAACTATCTTGCCATCACATTTTAGCTTCTAATTAATCATGGATGTATGCCTTTGTTTATGAACTTACTTTAGATGACATTTCAGTGATCTCACAGTATTTTCATTAGAGATATTGTAGTATTTTAACAGTATTGTGTTTTTAAATTAATCTATTTAATAAAATAATAGATTTCAGAGGTTCCCCCGTATACTACAACAACCAGCTTGCTTACTACCAGCAGTACACATACCAAAGTTTGAGAATTAACAGAAGAAGTTATATAGCAATAAAACTAGCTAGCAGTGAAGTCACTTAGCAATGACTGTTAATTGTGGATTCATAAGTCCCCTGGTGACAAACTAAAGACATACTAAAACATACATTTTCACTTATAACTTTAAAGATTGTAAATACACTTCTGGATGATGCTGACACCATGAATAACATTGGCTCAACCCCTTGACTAACGAGAACTGACATTCATGTAGTATTAAATATAATACCATGAAGCAGTTTTTGTCCTTGTTCAGTTAGGTAAGACAGATAAGAAAAATGTAGGTTTCATTCAAAAAGTGGCAACACTGTATTGTTTTGCTCAGCATGATGAATGTAGCTCTGGCTTCAGATTAGCTCCTCTTCTCTTTGTGGTGCTATAAAGGTGGCATTTGTCCCCCAGACACTAGTTTGACCCTACAGAGCCAATAAAAAGGATAGGTCATATGCTAAACATACTAGACTAGACATATGCAACCTGCCAGTTGTGTGTTAGGTTACTTGGGTCAAAACACTGACACTTTGTCACTAAAAGTCAACTAGTGCTGAGATGGGCTGTATAAGATAGAGGGAAGCAGGCATATATCACAAGTTGTTTTTAACTATTTAATTGTAGGGTTAGACCAATACATCTGTTGAAGCCAGTTTTCTGGTAATACTGGTCAAACGCACTATACAAAAACATATGTTGTTTGGAGACATTTGATTGTTATACTAATCCAGGTATTCCGTATTCCTTTGCTACGTCAGTCAGTGACGGGTCATTCCTCTCTGCCATAATGCAGGTCTGTTGTCTGACACCATAACAACAGAATCTTTTTTAGTGACAGATACCTCAGTCAATCTAATATTTTGACACAAACATATGCACTGCAGTCATGAGGGAAATATAAAGTAAATCTTTATTTAGTTAAACAAACTGGTAAAATGGTCCTAGTTGGTGAAATTTGTCTTGTTTATTATTTATACTTTTTTTTTTTTTTTTCGGGATTGCTGTCTACTTTGTCCTGATACCTTGGTGTCACAGTGATTAACTTTATAACACTTAAAATACATTATGGACACATCCATCTCTTCTCTTCCAATCTCACAGCTAGGAGGCCAAGAGAACAGGGAAGACTCACAGACACAATGAGATTAGATGACGAGGTGACATTTGCAATAGGGAACATATCTGGTCAGCAGCTTTGTCTGTCTAAGCTGTTTAGCAGACAACCTTTGCCAAGGTCCAGAGGAAAACATGCAGCCAAGTACCAGGCCAGACAATGGAGATGACAACAGAGATTACATGGGGGAGGTTATAGCCGGGCTGCGTGTGTCTTTTATTTTTGATTCAACAGAAACAAATTAACTAATGATTCATCTGGGTATTCCATTTTTTTATTTTTTATTTTTAAATCAAAGAGCAGATTTTTTTTTCTCTCAAGTTGTCATTGATTCATTGGTTTTTACAGAACTTCTAGCATATTTGCTCATAATGTATTCTTCAATCAATGTTCTTGGCGCAGTATTTAATTGGTGATATGGCATATTTTTTCAATTTTACTTTATTCGTTTCTGCAACACTTAATTACTATAATTTCAATACTTATTTACTGATACTTCTACCTGCTACCACTAGGGAGATGTTAACAGTCAGAGGCACAGCAACAGACACTGTAACTATTTCACATTAGATTCGTAACTGTATGGCTTGCCTCTGTGTACCTGGCCAATATTAACAGGTACAGGAGATACCACACTCCTGTGAGCTAACATTACATCACCCTCACCACTGTGTGGCCTTTGACTGCATTCTTATCATACTTTCACCTATTTTAATAGGCATAGGGCTGACTTCATAAAAGGGTTTTTATGAGAGAATGGCCTTAGAAGATTATTGTTCATCTGGCTTGCTCAGAATCTACTACCTGCTGAGCTCCAAACCTACATAACCTGGAAAACCATGTAACATCACCATTGAGCTTGATCTTGGACCTTAATGGACAGTTGTACAATATGGCATTATTTAACTGCCTTTAATTTTTCTAGAAAACTCATTTTCTATGTGTTTAACTCACTAAGCTTTAATTGATCAGATTTGTACCATTATTGTTACAATGGAAAATAACAGTGTTTGAAGATAAACATTTTCTTTCCACGATCAGAGATCACACCATGTGAAGGCAATATCAAGTGTGGCCACGGATGCCTGACAACAGATGAGGGTGCTGTCTGTGTGTGTCCTGAGGGATCTTTACTAAAAGAGGATGGACAAGCCTGTACTGGTATATATGGACTATTTCTGTTTCTCCCATAATATTCTAATAGAGCAAAGTGTATTTGTTTATTTCTTTAAAATAAAGGAATACATTTGTTATTAATAAAATACACTTTATATATGGAATATGAGATTCATGGACTGAATGTTTTGATTAGTGTAAAATCACTTGAAAACGTTCTCATTACCTTAGAATGAGCTGTTTTTATCGACAGACGCCACAGGTCGCCTTACGTGGAGGCCACCATGTTGAACCCCCATGTTTCTACAGTAGCCCAGAAAATACAAACCAAAAACTGGCTCTACATAGGGTCACTTGCATTTTTTGAGTGGTCAAACTGAGGTCACAAGAATCAAAAGCCTTACAACCCAGCAGTGCAGGGTGGCTTTGCATTACTGCTCAACACATAATGATCATACAAGTGATGGAATCAATTTAGAGGAAGACATAGAGAGGTTTTATTATAAGTTTTAAATTCCCCATGAATTAAGTCCATATCAATATACCGTATGGGGCGGTGTCCTGTTAGGAAGCTTATCTGTGTTTATGTTTACCACATTTGTTTTGCTGTTGCAGGCTGCTCATCTGCAGACAGAGGGGGCTGCAGTCAGCTCTGTACTCCTGTCACTCCTAGTAGGTGGCAGTGCGGTTGTGTGCCTGGCTACCAGCTCCACCATGATGGCAAGCGCTGCATTGCTTCTGGTGAGTCATATTATGGCAAAGCAGTCAGCTGCTTGGGTGGATAAGCCGACGCAGACAAACATTCTCTCACTATCATTCACTATCTAGTTAATCTTATTGTTACTCTTTCCTAAACACATTCTGTAAATTAAATGAAGGTAGAAAGTACAAGGTATAATGCTAATTACGACATAAGTGGTTTCACATCAACTACAGTACATCTGATCATTAAATAATATTTTAATATTCATTTTAATATTTTCTTCAGGACCACCACCTTATCTACTAGTTGCCAATCTAGTGGATGTGCGACAAATTAATCCTGATGGCACTGGGGATCAAACCCTTGTGGAGGAGCCCAGAGGAACAATCATAGGTTTGGACTATGACCCTGTCCAGAACAATGTAAGATGAAAAAAAAAGCCCTCTAATCTTCCATTGCCATTTTGTTTTCAGATTTTTCAATAGAAGCCGTAGTAGTAGACTATGTACTATAATAACCTCATGAGTCCTCCAGTTCAAGTGTTGGCAAAGACATCTAGTGACACCTAGTGGACTGACACTGTAATTTGATGGCCTATAGGGTTCAACGATCTTCAATTACAAACACTTTTTCTACTTCGATAGTTGCAATAAAGATGTATATTTATATAATAAATGCATTTGCTTATATATGTCTTTTATGCATTTTGAAGGTTTACTTTGCTAGTACAAGCCAGAAGACAATTGAGCGGGTTGATTTAAACGGTGGGTCCAGAGAACTTCTTGTCTCTGATGGATTGGAGTCTCCAGAAGGACTAGCAATTGACTGGGTGTACCGCAGGATGTACTGGACAGATAAAAGGTGTGTGGGGTTTTCAGAGACTAAATGCTGTGGATAGTTTGGTTATGTGCTGGAGCTGCATTTAACTGATGTCGCTTTTTGGAGTTGTTGTTTTATTAAAATTTTAGCAACTCTCTGGGTTTCTAAACATTATCAGAATGAATGTGTTTTTGGTTTTCTGTTTAATAACTGTTTACTTTTGTCCTCCAGCCAGTCAACTGTGGAGTGCAGTACCTTGACTGGACTGAACAGAGAAAGCATTGTAAACACAGGGCTGGAAAAACCAAGAGGAATCGCTGTTCATCCTTTGGCAAAGTGAGTGTGGCTGTATGTGCATGTTAGTTTATTTTAGTTTAGTTAGTCTGAGATCAGCAGTGCATTCAGAATGGGCTTGGCTGACCTTTGTGGGCGCAGCCAGATCACTGTTGACCACTGCTAGAAGTGATAGAAAATGGACGAAAAACTATTTACTTGTGTTTCAGAAAAATCCATAACTGTACAGTTACAAGTTGGCCTCGTATTGTTTGAGTCTCTGAACCGTAGTGATCTACTGCTAGCAACATTAGTATTGTAGCTAAGGTGGAGCAGTTTAGCACAGCGCCGCCGGGAGCTCCGGATGGACACACTACAGGTTCTCTGGGATTAATAAAACCCCTATGCCTAATTTACAATGCTTTTTTTTACTTTTTGAGGAAGTTGTTCTGGACTGATATAGGCGCCCAGCCTGTCGTGGAAAGTGCCTCTTTGGAAGGGAAAGACCGTGTAGTCATTGCTAGCACCAACCTTGTGTCACCAAGCGGTCTGACCATCGATTTCACCGCGGATCGCCTGTTCTGGTGCGACCAGAGCAGCGGCCTGGTGGAGACGTCTGCACTGGATGGTTCAGATCGACAGGTCCTGTTAGAGAACCAAGTAGGTGAGGCTTCTGTGACACATACACAAATCTCACTGTGTAGAGAAAATGTTGGATTGCAATATTGCAGCATAAAACATTACAACTGAATCTAAGATGTCAGAAAGCAGCCATCGAAGGGGAAGAAATTTAAATTTGTACATGCTCTCATTCATTCTCTCATTCAGTGATGTTCCCAGTTAACTGCCTATTGCCTTGAAACGTCACTCAAATATGTTCCTGCTTTAACCTGTCCTTGCCTTCACAGTAGTGTCTAAGATAATATGAACACAAGATGCACAGAAGTACTCACCTTGAAGCACTTAATGAACAGCATTCTTCTTTCCCTCTATTCTGATTCATCCAGGCCGACCTTTCGACCTTGCAGTATTTGAGGACAGGTTGTGGATATCTGATTGGGAGCACCGGCAGCTGAGGAGCGTACACAAGTGGACTGGGAAAAAGCTGCAACGTATCCATGACCACATGGTCCAACCAGCATCCATAGTGGTGGTGCATCCCCTTGCTAAACCAGGTACAGAGACAACAGGGATGCAATTTAGAGATGAATTTGCTCAGAAATTATACACTGAGGGTTATAAATACCACATGTAGCAACTCTAGCACAAGCAAGATAAAAGGAAGGATTACAAAATGCTTTCAAGTTGAAAGTACATTATGATAAGTGACTGTTGTCTTTCTACCACATATATAAGTAAATACTGTGCACGCTAGCAACAACAAAATAAGTTCCACTCATCCTAAAAATTCATGATTGAGTTTTTAAATTGTCACTGTGCATCCTCAGGAGCAGACGTTTGCCTTCACCTGAATGGAGGTTGTGCCCAGGTGTGCGAAAGCATATTGGGATTCGCCCACTGCTCCTGCCTGCCACGCTACGTCTTATCAGCTGATAGAAAAAGCTGCTTGCTTGCAGATGCTTCGAATGGAACAGCAGGTGACTCACTTTAAGCCATTTTACTTAAGGCGCATACACGTCTGTATAGGCTATTGAGTGTCAAAATAATGGATGTTTAGGTTAACTATATGAATTCCTTGTGTAGAATCTGGAGACCGTGAATCGACTGAAGTAACGTCTCTCAAAAACAAGACATTCAATGATGAGGGCACTCCCCTGACAACACCTGGCCTGTCCAGTGATAAAGTGGAGGCTGATTTAGACTCTGATGTAGGCAGGGAGACAACTCTCTTCACAGACAAGATGGTTTCAGGTAAACAGTATACCTTTAAATTACTGGTAGCTCTTCAGATTTAAGATCTTACTCTAACTAAATGTTATGATTCCATATGTCCCCTTCTCCGTCAGACCAGAATGAGTGTTACTCACTTCGCTGTGATGTAAATGCACAGTGCCTGATGAATGCTGGCAGCCCAACCTGTCTATGTCTAGAAGGTTTTACAGGTGATGGACAGTTGTGTGTGGGTGAGTATTTCTGTTTCTGTTCCTGTCTAGGGATGAAGAAACATGTACTGAAAAAAGCTCATGGGATTACATTTGATACAGACAGCTTTATCTCATTTACTGTAGCAGGGGTTTAAATTGTACATTTTGCATTATGCTGTGGCATAGGTGACAGCAATGGGAATGAATGAAAGAATCATTTTAGATATAAAAAACATTTGACAGAGGCAGAGCTGCTCTGGAGCAAAAGATAACCAAAATATTAAAGATAAACGTTAATGACAGGAGCTAAGGCCAAAATGCCTAAAACGCAAGTCTCAAAATGAAGTCTTCCAAAAATTCATATTATTTCTTTTGCAGAGCTATTTTCGTGTTTGGTAGGTTTGTCTGTATGTAGTAATCAGAAGTCATGTGTCAACTAATCTGAAGGATAAAACAACACAGTTAACATTGACAAGTGCAGGCCCAGTTATAACGAAGAAAAACGAAAAAATCTAAATTGTAAATCTAGTACAGTGACATTGTGTGTATTTTCTCCTTTTGTTTTAGATATTGATGAGTGTAAACAGGGAACACACAAGTGTGACAACAATGCAGAATGCCAAAATACTTTGGGGAAGCATCTCTGCAAGTGCCAGGCTGGATACCACGGCAATGGGAAGACATGCCAAGGTGCATCTCAATTATTTACTGCACATACAATTTTCAGTACTATTAGAATATTAGTGTTTTTGCTATTGCTACTGATCATCAGGCGTACCATTTAAGGTGTGAGAGATTAGGCAGAAAATAAGTAAACTGGAGGCTTATATCCAAAACTAGTACATCCAAGGTATCTCATTACTGCTATGTAATATAACCCCTTTTTACTACACAGGAAATACATTATTTTTATTATTATTATTATTATTATTACTATTATTATTATTATATGAGTCCTCTGGAAGGAGGACCAGTATTGTAAAGAGCAGACCGTGGATAAAGGCATTAAAAGTAACATTACTATACTGTATATTTGTCTAATTAATGAAATCCCATGCCTAATCATCTCAAGAGTTGGAGACCACATCGCCATGGGTAACAACTGGTAGTCCTGCTGATGTCACCACCCAACACCACAACAGTAACTCAGTACAGACTTGCCCCTCCACCCATGAATCCTACTGTCTGTACCAGGGTGTCTGCTTCTACTTTCCTGAAATGGAGTCCTATGCTTGCAAGTAAACAAACCCTCTTTTGTAACCTCTCAGGATGACCCCTGACCTCCAAGTTTAACAGTTTACTGACATCTTGTGATGCTCACTTTCTCAAAATGATCACCTGTTTTGTTGTAGATGAGTTCCATTATAAGCTTCTCTTTGTTATATTAGGATAGAAGTTGCACTGCAAAATATGCAGTAACTCAAACTGTCATCAGGAGAATATTTAAATGATCTCTGGGAAGTATATAAAATTCCATCTTAAAAGGCCAACATTAGAACATATTAGATAGTATGAGAACACTTCCTGCACCACATTGCTTTCTGGTGTTGCATTTTTATCTGCTTATCTCTCATGTTACTACAGCTGAGAAGCAGTAGATGTCACTATTGTTCCATCAATAAAGCCACTACCTCTTGGCTCCACTCACAGAGGAGAAGGCTATAGGACAGAGGATTAAGAATTTGACCTTTTCATATATACATATATACATATGCGAAAAAATATATATATTAAGGGGGTCATTGATCAAGCTCTAATGGGGGCTGAACAAAAGACATTTACATTTGTTCTATTTGACAACATTGTTTCAGCATTCAACTCTACTACTAATTATTTAGTTTATCAACAAATTATTATTTAAAAAAAAATTATAAAAAAATATTTAAAATGAACTGTATTTTGCTGTTAATTTTGTGATTACTGAAATCTTGAAGAAAATGTTTTTTAAAAATAATTTAGCATTGTTGAACTCTTCTAAGTACGTTCTTACTTGCTCCATTATATATTCTGATCATTTTTGCCTTTTTCTATTTATGCCTGCAAATAAAAAAATAAATGGCTGGTATTTACTTTTGAGAAATAATAAGTATAACTTTACACTGTGACTTTGTTGAACCTGTTGCAGTTGTGTATCAGGCTACATGGGGGAGCGATGTCAGTTCAGTGACCTGGAGTGGTGGGATCTTCAGCAGGCTGAGGAGGAGAAAAGAAGAAACGTGGTAATTGCGGCCTGCATGGTGGTCCTCGTTTCCCTGCTCTCCATCGCTGCCTGTGTCACCTACTGCTACGGGTGAGAAACAAGATGTGGTAAATGCATACAAATCTACAATGTAAAACGTAGGAAAGAGTAAATGAAAGAGGGAGTACGACAAAAGGAAAGACAAAAAAGGGAAATGAGGGAGGAGCAACAGGGGACATTTGGGTCAAGAGTTGAAAGGATAAAGAAAGTAGAGACTGGAGAAAAGGAACAAATGACAAGGCATAACGAAGGGAATGAGGGAGGAAACAATGAGAAAGAAAGGGGAAAAAAGGAAGCAAAAGTAAAATATATATATATATATATATATATATATATATATATATATATAAATAAATAAGATTGGAAGGAAAAGGAAAAGCTTAGTAAGGACGGGAAGATAAAGATGAGCTGCAGAGGAAATGTGTGGAAAAAGGGGGGAAATCTAATCAAACAAGAAGATGATGTTTGAATTACAGTGAAAGTGCAAGGAATGTACAGTCATGTAAAAAAGTACACCTGGGGAATCTTCTCTGCTAAAATATTCTAAGGAAAATTTTAACCATTTGCTCACAACTACATTCCATAATGTAGCACATTTTCCAATTGGTTAGCCCTGAAAATATTATAAAGCAAAACTAACGAGCCCAAAAGAATTCTATTCATACTTTTTCTTAAAATGGTAATGTCAGATTCCCATTATGATCTTAAGTTTCTTAGGCTTTTCCATCTTATTTAACTGATAGGAAGAACTTGAAAATCACATTGTTGGCAAATAGGTCTTGGCCACCTGGGGCTTTGAACCCTAGACCTTTGGATCCCCAGAGAAGGCAACTTAAGGAAAGCGCCACTAGGTACAAGCAGTTTCTACACACCGTCTCACAAGTTGAGGCAATGGTCTCACATGTGTCAGACTGGGACATTTGTTTGTTTAAAATTAAAACGTTTACAACATTCAAAAGGATGGTGATAACATTTTGAAAAAAAAAAAAAACTAAAATACCAAAAAATGTTAGAAGGGGTGCAATTTGCAACCCACATACCAACTTAGGTCTTTCTGGGTCGGTTTTTGCTGCTCAAACACTTTTGGCCGAGAAGAATAATAAGAATAACAATGAGAACAGAAACAAGAAGGTTCCAGCAGCTGGAATCTGGGGAGAGTTTTGCTCTGTTTATCTGCACATATGTCAATGTGCGTGCCGGTGTATGCACTGCAATAATGATGTATAATATCAGCAGTGTTGTGTTTAACCTCCTGGACACTGGAAGCACAGATAGCCAGGGAGGAGCGGTTTCAGCAATGAATGAGCTGACAGCATTTCGAGGTGTCTATCAAACCCAGGGTGGCATGAGCCGTGTAATGTCGGTGTCTCAGCATGACAGCAGAGGGTCGGGGAGCAGATCACATGTGGAACGAATGGCAGCATGCAACCGTGGTTAGCTGAGAGAGGAGCATACATAAAGTATACGCTGAAATCCCTCCTCCCTTTTATTTCCACCTGAGCTGTCTCTAAGTAGCTGATTTGTTTTACGGTTGTTTCGCTGGCTTATGGACAAGGCTGTTGGCATTCTCCACTCTTTTGACTGACAAAGCACCCCCCCCCACTACTACATCCTAACGTTTGGAGTCTTGGTTCCCCTGTGGAAGTGGCACGCTTTCAATTACATGCTTGGTTTAGCTTGTTCTACAGCAATTACACATAAAAATAGGTCATTTCTCAGCTACAAAATGGAGCCGCTGAGGTATGACCCCAGTGGAAACGCTACATGGCCGCCAATAGCTCTGTCTCAAATTGCCTTCTGCACTTGACTGCAAGTGCACTTACGCAGTCTTTGAGTTTGGTGGTTTAGTTTCCTCTGCAACACACACAGAAGTAGTGATACGGGCTAAAAAAACTCAACTTCCGTCTCATGCTGTGTCCCTTTTCGGCTCAAACATGCAAACAAACACACTAAAAAAACACACACACAGCCCTTTGGGTAGTTTATCACCAAACTCTCTTCTCATCTCTTCTGGTCAACCAGTAGGCTGTAAAGACATAAGGCACACAGAAAGCAACTGTAACATCTGTTTCGCAGTTTCACAGTATATACTGTATGTGTCTGCAAGTAAATGTGCGGGGAATTACTGGGAACGATGAGAGCACAGTCCAATTTTATATTTCCTACTATGCTGAATTTGAATGCATAATTTTCCTGCAAGGGCACCACCTCTGTGACTTGATAACCATGTAAATGCCACATGAGTCTGCTAATAATTGCATGTAAATTTAAATTAAAGTAAATTTAATGTTGCCTCGAGGACCCTTGAGATTAATAAATTAACTGGAATACTGCATGTGTGCTTTCCCTGTCTTCCACGCAGAACCAGGAAATTCTTCCAAAAACAAGCCTCAGTGGATAATGTGAGTGAGACCAGCGTGACAGATGAGAGCATGTCAGAGACCACTACTACTAGTGTGCCTCGGGTAAGACCATCATCACCAAGCTCTCATAAATGCATCTTTAAGTACAAAAAGTCACCAGTGAACCACATATGAATGTGAATTAATCAAGCCATACTAGGTACTCCAACTTGGTTGTTTGAACACACCAACGTAACAAATGGAGCTCAAGTTCTAAAAATGTGTATAGAAGCCCATGAACCTTAATGAACTACTGTATGAATCTACAGTTCTACATGGTGGTAGAAAATGGCGTGGAGGGAATGGTAATCCCTGCCGTGGGCTGTCCCAGGAGAGCTGTCTGTCCATCCTGCTCTTCAGAAACAGGTACCGCAAACCGATGTGAACGCGCTAGAATTCAGCTTTTCAGACTGTATAATTATTCATTTTTCTACATCTGTATCTTCATATTTTAAACTGATTACATTTCTAAAGAGTTATTTTTTTGCCAGGTGACAACCCAGTAGCTGAAGAGGCGGGAACATTGTCCAAACACAACAGAGGGTACGAGTGCTCCATGGTGTCGGCTGTTGCCATGGAGACCACCCAACCCGCTGTCCCTCACTCAAGTCCATCGGTGTCAAGCTCATTTCCTTGTACGTCTTTCGAGCCACCACTGCTCTCCCAGACTCCCAGCCCAGAGTCCTCTGCTTCCTAGTTAACCAGAGAGACTGACAGAGATGTACAGTTAAACGCACATACACTGCACAACATCTGGCTGATGTACAAACTGCAAATTAAGAGTTTCACTCCAAATTAAAATGCCTCATGAATGAAGAAAATGTCACATAAGCTGTTGCCTACCTAAAAGTTATTTGTGGCATTACTGAATGAACATGAATCTGGTATGCTACTCTCAGCTGTAGATTTCTATTATACACAAAATGTAATGCCAGGCTAGTTCATGAAAGCCATTGAAAAATACAGGTACCTGGTAGCACTACCCAGAATAAATCATTCAGTGGTACACAGAAAATAATTGATCTTATAAGATGTAGTGACAAACAGCAATTTGTTCGAGACAGAAAAAAACACTAGCTATTAAAAGTCAAACTGAACTAAAAGTAATGCAAGGAAAAAAGAAACACAGAACTTAACACTCAGACTGTTAAGACCTAATCAAACATTTCTAAACTAGTATTTGGATTAGAACTCTTCCATGCATTCACATTTACCTGATATTGTAGCTGACAATATATTTATGTAAAATACATAATGTACAGTATGTCTTATTTACAAAATTACAAAGTAGATCCAAAGTATATCATCATATTATCGAATGTTATAAAAGCTAATATAGACAAAAAATATATAAATAAACAAATGACATATACAAACTGAGTAGCAAATGAACAATAAAATCTGATTACAATTTTGAAAAAAATGTTTTCACTGCTTGCTTTTGATAGAGATTGAAGAATCACTTCCGCTTACAAGTTGTCATGGGCCATTTTTAGAAAGGTTTTATCGTTTGATTTCTGTTTGTCCAGCATGAAGCATATGTATAAGGACCTTGATTCACATTTTATTTTATACCCGAGTCAATTTTATTTGTATAGCTCAAGATTACAACTTTGCTCAATGACTTTTACATGTTTCATGATTAGTCCCCACAAGAACCCCCCAGGATGGGGAAGCCTAATAAAAACATTGGACCCTGCAGGGTGTTTTAGAATATTTATATACATCTACCAATGAATAATTGACATTTATACTAAAGGATGTCACTCCTCACATCAAAAAGGTGTAAATGCTGTTAGGTCAGCCTCTTCATTAAAGTAAACAATGTTTCTTGTGTGAGTGCTGATATGTCCACACATCTTGTCTGCTAAATAAACTTTATGCTACCATTACATGTTTAATAATTAGCAAATATCTAAACACGTTTCTCAAATTGCTTGCATTAAGCTGGTGCAGGAGAGCAAACGATGAAGAGTGATTGCTTGCTTGTGTTTTGTTGTTTAGATATCACGTTCATGATTTCCTCATTTGTTCCATATTTCATGGAATAGTTTTGAGAGGTTTTCCATTAAGTATATCGTAACTCCTAATATTTATCACTACCCACTGCAAGTGTAAGCGCTCAATTTTGATGTGTTGCTGTTCACATTATATCCAGTGTGAACAGGTCACAGTCCTGAAGTTTCCTGCATGACATAGGTCGATCCAGAGTGACTCAAAAGTCACATGAATTATGATACAACTGTTCCCACTGAGGCTGCATTACTAAAAACTCAGACCTGTATCTAATTTGGATCACATATGACCAAATCAGAACTATAAAAAGGTCACATTCAGTGTGATTTGAGATGTTCACACTGTCATTAGCAAAAGATAAATAAATAATATGACACGGGTCACCTTTATGTTACTTATCTTGCATTCAGCTCCAATTAATTAAATGTAATATAAACCATGTGAACACTGAAAATGCACCACATGTGCCTGCCTGGTAACATCTAGTCAAAGCTAGCTAGTACGTCAGCACATTTACTTACACCAGCTAACTCAACTAACCTGGCAACTGTGATATTGTTAGCAAATGGTAAATTTATTTTTATACAAAAATCTAGGTATGTTTCCTTACGCCAAAGGACTATACTTTTAGAAATAAGCTGAGGGTAACTGAAGTGAATTGCTGACTGACTGATTTGGACAGTTTGTTTAGGAAAGGGAATGTATCTTGCTATTGATGTCTACCTAATTTCTTTTTATATTTTAACTAGCTAAACACTAGTAATATTTATTTGGAGAGCACAAGCAACATTTAGCAATTTTATTCACACTGTATCCAGCTCTGATTGTGTAATATTTTCAGCCCATATGTACTATTACTGGAATTAGAAAACTGTATGATGAAGCTTGCTTTTATTTCAATTAATAAAACTATATTCACAAAAAATGTGCTGTGTAAATAACTGCAACATATTTAGCACTGAACTGAGTTTACTGGACGCAGGAAACAAACAGCAGTGTTTTCTTAACCCAGCCATTTTTGTTCGCAAAATACACTTTTCTAATGACATTATTTTCTTATAATTGGAAGATTATTTTGGCCATACATAGCCCATCTGTCTCGTTACACCCCATCACACTCTTCTTCGAAGCTCTTGCCCTTGCTCCACTGATGATGCTTTTCTATCCTCCACCAAATCTAACGCTCTAGTGATGTTGGTACCAATGCTGCCACCCTCCACCACCACCACCACTCTCCTATCTGTCTATTTCTATTTCTATCTGTCTCTGTCCGCGACTCTCTCTCAAGGTTGACTGGGAATTGTTAATAGAAGGGCCCACAGCCTCTTTGTTTCGAGGCACTGGCAGAAAACAAAGCACTTTAACTCAAAAACCATCAGGGGCCACATCGATATTGATTTTCCTGGCAAGACACACTTATCTATATATTGGCCTCCATTAGGGCTAACAGATAGGTTAGGGCACCACTCTAAACAGCAGCAGATAAGCCTTCAAGTAAAGATGAAATTGGGCCCAGTGTCAATTTATCTTGTATTATTCCTCAATTGGGGCAACAGGGGGCAATAGAGTCACTGACACTGTAAGTAACAGGGGCCTCAAGAGGCCTCCATTTTGTGTCATTTTTGGAGGAGGCATTGTTTTAAATGTTAATATGAATATACACTTGCCAGTTTATTACATACACCTAGCTAAAACTAACAGTCCCGGATTATCATTATTATTATTATTGTATATGAAGTTATTTAGCTTACCCACATTGATACAAATAGGGTGGACAGCTTACCCACATTGATACAAATAGGGTGGACAAAATAATAAATAAAAAAAATGGACATTATAACCTGTTGTATTAAACTGCATTAGGAGTAACTAAGAAACTGGCAACTGACTGGATGCTGATGTTAGCGTGTATTTTGTAGTATTACTGTTACCTTACTGTTATCGGACACTATAACACTAAAAACACTAAGAACCAAAATCTGCTTTTTTTCTTTCATTGTAAGCTACTTTCTTGCTAGTCCCAATGTCCCAAGCAATCCTAAGGACATGTTTTAATGGACCAGAACTGACTTGAATAAAAATTCATCCTTTCTTTTTACTGTGTTTTGTCATGTCATTTCAGCTGCCACTAATTAACATCAATTCTGAGAGTAACTTGATGGCAGGCCAAAATTAAACTCAACTATTGTGGGTTTGTTTGCTCTGTGCAGCTCTTGCCTTAACTCAGTTAAGATGTTTTTTATCTTGTAAAAGAAGCATCACTCTGTAACACTGTACAACCACGAGCAGACAAGGTGTTTTTGTAGTCCCAACAACTCCATCAGAGCGGTTTTCTCTCTAGCCAATCGTTTCACATCAACTGTAGGAGTCACCTTCTCCCAGTGAAACTTTTATTCACAGCACTACCTGTGACCTTCAGTGTGGATCAAGAAGCTCCTGAAAAATAATGAGCCAGATACATATTTAATCCACATTTGAGTGTGTATGATCAGGCCATCCTTTTTTGCAAATGCAGCAAATCAACTGATGTTACTGTACTAGCAGACACTACGGTTACTGATGTAATAATGGATTTGCTAGCCAACGCATGAACACTTTCAGTGTACCAAATTAAGTATCTGGATTAATCAGCGACTAAATCAAAGGCAGCAGACAAACTAGCCACATTTAATTCGGCTGAAATTGCCATATTTAAAGTTTGGAAACAATTATTTCTCAGCAATCACTTATCACAAGCTGTAGACACAGCCATCAGGATATCATCTGAAAGATGTACAGTGTAATTACAAAGCAAAATTCCAAAACGCAAAGCTCTCAAAAAGAGAAAGCGAGAGGCCAAGGTTAGTGTTGTTCCTCTCAAGTCATTTGCTGTGTACAAAGTTTTAAGTTTCAGGTTTGGCTTCAGATGTTGAAAGCTGTAAAAATCTAATAAAAAGTGGAGGGGTGAGGGGCTGAATGTGTCAGTGGATTATCACAGAGACACAGTAAGAAAAGGCAAAAACATGCACTGAAAGTTAATTTATTCAAGGGTATTTAATTAATTGAATCAATATGTTAAAACGATAAAGGTATGGAGAAGATTGGACGTGTGGAAGTGTTTTTCTTTCAACAATACAAAAAGCATACACATACATACATACATACATACATACATACATACACACATACAGTGATTTCATTCCGTTTCTATTAGTTAATTTTGTGTTCTGCCAGATGGGGCTAGCTTTGCTTTATCGCTCACGTCTCCATCCCAGCCCGGAGGACAGCTGACGGGGGCTAAAGAGGGAATTAGCTACCCACTCAAAAGCTTTGCTCTGATCCTTCAGGTCAGTTTTTGGTCCCTCCAGCTCTTGAGCAGGACAGAATAACACTAGTTTGCAAGGATTTGAGCAGATTAAAAATTAAAAGGGGAGGGGGTCTAATGCATGTATTGGACATTGATACATGAGCCAGAATCTATGGGTGCACCACAGAAGAGGGAAAGTCCCAAACCTGGGAGCTCCCTTGGTAGTTTTGTCTCCTGAGGGGCAGTTGGAACCTTTTGAGTAGACTGATTCAAAGCCTGAAATATACCTATTCCTTCAGTGGCAGCCTTAAATTCCTTAATTCAATTCTTTAAACGTAATGTGCATCGATGAATGTTGCCCTTACTGCAACATAAAAACAGAAATATTCCAAAAATGTCTGGAGCTGTTTCAAAATACCCAGTCAAACAGATGTATTAGTGCGTTCCCCACCCTGGTCATAACTTTTAACCCATATATCATATATTAGTTCAGAAAATATATATTTTATATGATGTCATATTTAATACTCTTATTTATTATGTTGAAAGTTGATCCTTCCCACACAAGCCAACAAGTATTCACTGTTTCTGCAAAGGGTTAAAAAAAAATGTGAACCCTTTAGGACCATCTTGGGACAGTAAACTCTCAACTGAAACCCAAACTAAAGATCTCAGTCTTTTGGGTTGGTGATGCTTTCAAGCAGGGTGACCCACCTGGTTTCATTTTCATTACCCAGATAAGATAGATAATAGATAGATTATTAATAAATAAATAAATAAATAAATGCTAATGACTAAAGAACAGCCACAGAATAAAGGTCCATTTTTTATGCTCAATGGTCCCGGAGAGAATACCATCATACTGTAAGAGACAGAAATGGCTGATAATTAAGGTTGCTCATGCAGTTTACATGCTCACTCTTACAGACATTCTTACAGCTAGGGCACACACAAAACACAAAGAGAAACCAAATGTGGGAATTATGCTGAAACATCATCAGAAAGATTGCATCTGGATTTCATCAGGAATTCTCACAAAAAAGGAAAACTGGGAAAACACATTCATCATGCCCATTTTGTTTTGTGTTGTACTGCTCACAAAAAAAAAATCTAATTTATATGTCTGATGTTGGACTGTCTTTGTTCCAGCAGATGGCGACAGTGTTTAAGGAAAAACACTTTACAGTATCGAGCTTGGGAAACTGTAATAGTTGTATTATTAGTAGCAGTACTCTATCAAAAATAACTGCATGGCCAGTAACTCACAGGGAAAAAACTTTTATTATTATAAAATGCTCATGTAAAAGACAGATGGCTGCTGTGACCTTTGAAGTGAACAGGTCAATTCTGACAGGAGCTACGTTTTTGCACGTAGACTTAAAAAAACAGTGATCGTTGCATAAGATCAATCACTTCACACTTGGATTTACTTAGTAAAGATGGGGAATGCACAGTACAGTAATGCACTTATTGGCAGTGCTGCACATGTCAGCACAAAAAACTACAGCTGTCTTTATTGGATGGGATTACCTGGGCTTTAACCTTTTTGTGGCAAAGATATATCTGCCAAAAAAAAAACAAAAACAAGTTTGTAAAGTCAGCCTAAGAGTCTTAATCTCCTTTTTCTTGCACTTTTAAATACAGTGTTCCTCAGCCAAATTGATGCAAACAAAGTGATACAATACTGTATGTACTTGCAGCCTTTTGTGCAGAGTAGACATAACTGCATGATGGGAATTTTTGACATAATTACATTTAAAAAAGTAAAATTCTACTATTTACTATATGAATAAAACATTCTCATGAATAATGCCTTTTACTGAAGATTAAAAGCATGGTAATACAGACTGCATCGTGCCAAAGCGTCCGCTAAGAAATACAAATATGTCCCAAATAAGTTGCTCTTTTTCATACTAATGTCATTTCACAACCCTCCAGATAGTCAAACTCATACAGTTGCTTCTAGTGTCACCATGACCCAAAGTGCACACTCAACAATATGAATTAGTTTACCGAGACTGAACAGACCATCCAACTGGTGCATCCCGTAAACCCTGAACAACAGCATTCACTACAATGAAATGAGACAAGCACACAGGGTCTGTTAACAAAGGCTAATAAACGCCATGTTTAACAAAAACCAAACAGACAACATTGTTTCTACTATGTGTGCCAATAACATGCCTGTCTTTAATTCTGCAACAATTATCTCCACTCCCAACATAAATAAATGATGATTGATGACCCAGAAACAGTTTGATTACTGTCAAACTCTGGCAACAATTAAAATCATCTACCTTTAGTGGAGACAGAACCTAAAACCTATAGCTCAGTTATAACAACAGAAATACTTTCCATCTCCACATTAAGGGAAATTCAGTGGGATAAAAGATCATGTGTTTGCATTTAGGAACGCTTCATAGTCGTCGTTTTGGTTCTTATATTTTTTGGCAAATAGTGTGTGACACAACCACACATTTTTGGATTACACTCAGTAGTATATAATTTAATCAATATTACATTTATATACAGGAGAAATGTTTCTAATAAAAACCCATCTGTGGATGCAAACCACAGCGGTGTTTCTTTGTTTGGGTGGACCGACTGCTAAGACTATTTATAATGAACAAATGATGAAATACTACATACTTCAACTATGAGATTGAAGTATGTAGA